AGATGTCAGACAGAAGCCTAAATGAAATACATTAACCAATAATAAGTCTGACTAAGCAAAAGAGCAGTTTACAAAGAACAGTAGAAAACTACATAATGGAGCACAAAGATTTTGGCAGCTGTAGAACATTGCGACAAAAGTTAATTACGAAGCAAATAAATAGCCTTGTAGCAAGACTAAACAGACAAGACAGTCTCGGAGGGTTAACAAGACTATGAATAATACAAGACTGTCAAAGAACAGGCTTAACAGAAGATATATAAAAGACAAAAGAGTGGCCAGAAATTTAAATGTACCTGAAGAATAATTTAGCATGTCTTACAATACTCAAAGCAAAAAAATTAAAAATAAATATTAAAATAGAAAGTGAACTATAGTCAATACTCAGGTATGATGCTAAAATACAAGAACTGGTAGATGCATAATTGTGAAAAAAAGGAGCAGTCATAGTAAATAAAGCTGGTTTAATATATTTAAATCAATTACTTAACACGAGAGGAGAAAAACTAATCACATAGCAGCAACTCAAAAGTTATTAAGGCCAATTAAGTAAAAGGAAGAAAGCAGAATAGTTCAAAGCAATTGAGTCAAAAGTGCTTAGCAGCTCAGAGAACAGAGCAGTACAAAGCTACTTTAGAACAGGTAAACAAAACACCTAGGCAATGCAAGTCAAATAGGAGCATATATCAGAAGATAAAAGAAAAAAAGAATAGATAATATATAGTACATGAAACTACAGACAGCTTGAAAAGGTGGTCAAAAAGAAAAAGAAAAAAGTATTAATTGAACTTTAGTAGATGAAATGCAAAGAGAATGAAGTAACAACTAAGATTAACAGATGTGAAGAGTGTAAAAATAAAGAAGAACAGATAGAAAACAGCTGCAAACAATGGATAAGATTAAACAAAAACATTTATGTAATTTTAGATAGATTAATAAGTAAGAGCAGTAATAAGATTAAGATAGCTATAGACTAAATAATAGATAAGACAGAAATAGACAAATCAAAAATAAGTGAATGCAAACTAAAGGGTCTTACAACAATAGAAGAACTAGAGATAGAAATTATCAAATGACAAAAACTGGAAGAAAATATTAGTCAAGAGATAATAGAAATTCTAAAAAGAAACATTATAAGAAGCAAGAGCAAATATATAATATATACTGACAGTGCAACTAATAGAAGAGATAGTAAAGAGCCAATATCTAAAAATGATATGGGTATAGGATGGGTCCAAACAAATAGAAGAGGTAGCTTTTGAACTAGAAGGATAGCAAACATCGATGATAGCAGAGTTGGTAGTAATTTAGGCAGCAATTTTAACAATATTTAAAGAGAAGCAAATAGAAATATATACAAATAGTAATGCTGCAATAAGAAATATTGGTAGAACTTAGAACAAGCAGACAGAAACAAGATTATTAAGAAAAAAAATGCAATATGGATAATGAAGATTAAAGACCTCATCAAGACAAAAAACATTCAAATAGAGTTAGTTAAAGTTAAAGGTCATAGTAAAGATAAATGAAATAATAGAGCTGATAGTTTAGCAAAAGAAGAAACAACAAGTAGGAAAATAGTACAGGCCAAAAGAGTTAGTTGTAAAAAAATAGAGTACTGTCTAGAGTGGGAAAACAGAAAAACTAATATACCAGCAAGACTGCTTTGCAAGTTAGTAATGAATGCAAGATTAGGAGCAGAATAGAAAGAAATGAGAGCAATTAAAAGCTTAAAGCCAGAAGCAGAAATCACAATTTATAATTAAACTTATTTTTGAAAAAGACTAAAGATGACCAAGGGAATATACTACACAATAAGAAGAAGCAGCTCCAAAAGAAGTGTGTTTATTAAGTGCATAATAGATAAACTTCAGACGTTAGAAGAACTTAACAGAAGGAGGCCAAATATATATACAACAGTAGAATGCCAAGTATGCCAAGATAAAGTAAAAGAGACACAAGCATACTTGGCAGCATGTAAAGGGCAAAGAAATCTCTGGAAGAGAATCCAAAAAGTAACCATTGCAACAGTATAAAAGAAGTTAAAGGAAGATGAAAAGATTCTGATTCCCTTATATGTGTTATATATAGCACTCTTTGGAAAAACAGAGACAAAGAAAGTTAAAATAAGAAAAGCATTAATAAAAGACTTAATTGCAAAAGAAATGCAAGACAAACTAGCAAAGCTATTAAACACAAGATCAAGATAGCAGTTTGCAAATACAGTAACAATAATGACCTAAGATACATTCTACAAACAAGTATGAAGAATACATTGTGAAAAAATCATTGAATAGGAGAAAAAAGTGGAACAATAGGTAGAACTAAAAGGAAAAAAAGTGGAAATTTAAAGGAACCAAGAAAATGAGAAAAGGCAAATCAGAAAGAAAAAGAAAAGAAAAAAGAAGAAATAAAAGAAAAAGGGAAGCAAATTGAGAAGAAAGTAATGAAGACAATGTTGGGGCTTGTCATGAAAGTGAGAAAACCCTTTCATTATAGACTTTAAGTAGTCAGATGAGCAGCTTACTTCTGTTCAAAGTAATGTGGCAGGTTGCACTTAGGTACCAATAAGGTGGCCAGGTGATGCTAAACTTAGATATTAGAGATATTTATGTAGTTACAAATGTAATTTCAAAAATCTAATAAAGTACTAGCATGACTGCTTAAAAAAAAAAAAAAAAAAAAATTACTAAATAAACTTACCAAATAACAAATAAAACTAAATTATTTATGAGTTTGAATAAATCATCAAGTGAAATCAGATTGTGCAACTCTAGTAATGCATAGAACCAATAGTTTTTTTATAAAATAATCTAATTAGTAATATAACAAGTGCTTTTATCTAATGTAAAATATTTAACATGAAACCTACCAAATAAAAGTTGAGAATTAGTATAGTTTATTTCAGTAAATATCAGTATAAATGAAATTAAATTAGATGACATACTTATTAAACAAAATTTTTTGTAGATCTTTATTGAAACAAACAGGAGAGTGCCTTGTATTACATATAATTATTAGACCTATTGTTTTCATTTTGAATAATGCATTAGTTTTTATTGTTAAAATTCAGCAAACATTTAATATCTGTCATAGCACTAATATCAAAAAATCCTAGCAAAAATTGATTTATTACATACTTTTAACTACTTATATTAGGTGAATATAAGTGATCACTAATACTGAGCAATATAAGTAACACCTTTCTTAATAAATGAATTCTCAATAAATGTGTTAAACATTATATATAGATTGTGTAAACATCATATGCATTAAGTTATATATCAAATTGAAAATATTTGTCTTCTAACTTCAAGTTAAACTTGTCTATAATTTTTTCTTTTTTGTTATATTATATATTCACGAATAATGCATCCCTGCACATTATTTTATCTTCTAATACGTCATTTTGAAATAAAGGATCAAATTTAAATGCAACAGTTAGCTAATATATTATACAATAAGTGAATTATTTTGAAAAAATATACAATACTACTAAAGGATACAATTTTCAAAATATTATAAGAATTATTTCACAGCTTTATAGTAGTAAGATTCTGGATTTGAGATGTAAATGCTGATTTGAGAAACCTGAAATCATAAAACTAATACAATTAGTAATTTTAATAAATATAATCTATTCACTAAAAATAAATAACTAAAATATTAACACAAATTTTTAACAAAATTAATTAATGTAATCTATGTATAAAAAAGCAAAATAAATAAGAAAACATAACTATACATATTGTTAGCATTAAAGTTTTTTGCCACATTATTTTTTTGTACTTTTGTTTGTTATTATTATTTTTCTTATTACTCTTATTATTTTAATTATCATTCTTATTACCATTATATTCACATTTAGATTATTGTTCACTAAATCAAGATTAGAATCATTGTACATCAGGAAAATATTTAAGCATAGTGATTGACAAATCTATGCTATTTCTTTTTTAGTATGTGATAGGTCAATTACTGTTATTTCCTATTTTGGTATATATAATTAGTGAAGAGATTCTTAAATACATTTGGCTAAAGATAAAGATAACAGAATAGCTTGGTTATAAGATATAAATAAAAGGAAATTTCTCAATGAATAGATAGCATAGTAATTAACAGATCTATACTATTTCCTTTTTAGGATATAATAGGTCAATTACTATTATTTTCTATTGTGATATATATAATTAGTAAAGGGATTCTTAAATACATTTGGCTAAAGATAAAGATAACAGAGTAGCTTGGTTATAGGATATAAGAAAAAGAAAATTTCTCAATAACTAGATAGTATATAATAGATTAATTACTGTTATTTCCTATTATGATGTATGGAATTAGTAGAGGGATTCTTAGATACGGTTTGGCTAAAGATAAAAGTAGTATGATAGCTTGATTATAAAATATATGAAAAAGGAAATTTTTAATTTTTTTTCAATAGCTAAATATTGTCCTCACATTGTTATTATTAAGTCATTCATTGTGTAAAGCAAAAAAAAAAGTTGTCTTGCCTAGAAGTTAGATGCTGCAGAAATTCTTTTTTGTATTTAAACCCTTGACTTTTGCTTTAATTAAGTTTTTTCTTAGACTCGATCTGTCTAATAAACCAATAAATATAAGTTAATTGGCAATTCAAAACCAAAGATAACTTAAACATAATTATCTAATTCTTCTACATTAATCAATTAATTACTGCATCATTTTATCATTCTTAAATCTAAATAGAGGTAAAATATTTTTTTATCTTTAAGTGAAAATTAATAATAATAAAAATTTCTAAGTAAACAATAAACTTGCATATGCAGAATTAATCCTTTAGCATATATTCAAAATAAATTGTTAATATATTTAATATAACAAATATTATTTATGCTCATCAAAACATTATATATATCTTCTAAGACCATTTAATCTATTATATATAGCAATCTAGTCTCTAATTCAAAATAAATTATATTCATAATCTATAATAGATTTTTTAACAATAAAACCTTGACAAAATGAGTGAATCTGAATTTACTTGTCAAGATTTTAAGAAATGCATTAATTCTGAAGAAAATAACAAAAATAGTTTTACTGTTGCTTTCGAAGAAAATAGCAAAGATGACTTCACTGTTACTTCTAAAAAAAATTATCAAAATGGTTTCACTGTTACTTCTGAAGAAAATAGCCAAGAAGGTTTTACTATTGATGATGTTGCTTTTGCAGAGACTTTTGCAAGTGCTCAGTTCTTACTTGATGAAGGTAATGATGATTATAACTATGAAGAAGATAATAATTATGAAAATAGTGATGAAGACATTAATGAAGGTAATGAAAATATTGATTATGACAATGAATATACTAACTATGATAATGATAATAATGATGGTGTAGAAGTTGAACAACCATCTACACAGAATCATAAGTTAACACTATGTATCATTATTGATATTACCAATGGCAAAATAAAATGTTGTAATAGTGCTGCAAACTTAAGATGATTAAGACAAATAATAGGAATATGAAAAATTGATATAAATGCAGCCAAAAGTATTAAAGATAACTTTCTGCAACTCGGAATATGTCTTTCTTACTTTGTTTTCAATCAAAACCAACTTCATAATAGTGATGCAAAACAATCATGTTCGATTGAAAAAGCAAAGGTTCATTTTCACTTCTGCATTTTCTGTTATAAAAAAGTATGCTTTTTTGGCTATAGCAATGGCTGTAAAGAGCATTCATAGAAAATTAATGAAAATAATGTTCAAGTATCTTGCATTAGAATTTTTAAATGCTTAGCACTTACTGTAGGACCTATTATGAATAAATCATCTTCAGGGTATTGTGCTTGTTATATATGTTCACAATGTTTCCAAATCAAAGTAGGTATTTGTATTAAAGACCACGTAGAGGTAATTCTATAATGTTGTGTACTGAACTTTAAAGACACCAAAATGATACAAGTGACATTCTAATAAATATTGAAAGGTAAATAATCTCAGTAGAAGAATCATATAACCAAAAACTAAAAAATAAACTTTTATTATTCTTAGTGCCATCTCTTCAATTATTAAATAACAATAATGAAGATAGCAAAGTATCACAAGTGCATCTTCCTAGTAGTCTTCTCGTTAAACTGCAATAAAAATAGTGAAAATTGACCCTAATAAATTAATAGAAAAATACTCAAAGATTACTTCAGAAAAGGCAACAATTATAGGTGAAAATATGAAAAAGGAGATTTTATCTCTGCATTTAGAAATCCAACTAAAAAGAGATCAATTAGAAAATCCAGGTTCATACAATGAGTATTTCAACATATTGCCAAATATTATTTGCAACTTTTTTCAAGCTCTAATTATAGCAATACAGCAAAAAAAATTATTAGTTATTAACAAGTGGAGGAACCAATATGAACTTTCTTTAAAATCGCTTAATATAAGTCATATAACAAAAGTCACTACCTTTTTTACCTCCATGTTGTTAACAATGGCTTTTTTTGAAACAAAAATCTGGCTTATGCATATTATATCATCATTATATCAGAATCCAAAACTATTTCCAAACTTATGTGAGATTTTCTATTCAGCAAATGGTTTATCTTACACAAAATGACATGAAAATCAGCTTAACAAAGCCTGAATGTTTAATACAAATCCTCTAGAAAGGCTAATTAAAAGACCAAACATCTGAAATTTGGCAGTTATCGACAACATTGATTTTAAAGCCTCTATCTTTGCAACAGGTAATATTTTTGATGTTGTATATCAAACCTCTCATGCAATACTGCAAATGATGTTTTAATTTATCCTTCTTATAGTACTTGAAAATATAACTAATAATGGAATTATTAATTATCCATTATTTGGAGAGTTTACAATTATTAGTAATCTTTTGATGTTATACGAAACTGTTTTAAATACAACATTAGAGAAAAATAAGAATGAATTAGAGATAGAAGACATATATTTAGAAATTATAAAACAAATACCTTCAGGTTGTTATATTCTAGTAAATGTTGTAATCTTAGAACCTGGTGATCCACTGAATTGTAATATTAATGTTTATAATTCATGTAAAATGTACAATAAAAATTTATCTATTGGCAATGATGACTGTCTTTATATTGCATATAATCAAGCAATTTTTGAAAGATTGATTTCCTACAAAGAGAAACATTCAAAGGCTTGACTTATTTTAGGACAATGGCATACATCTAAGAACATGTGTAGCACATTAATTATAATATTTTCAGGATATGGAATATTTAATCTAGCAGCTACTCTTGGCATACAATATTTAGATAAATTTGAATATATTATAGATTACTGAGCAATATGTCAAGTCCTAGAAATGATCTGAATTGCAGTTGGAATTGTTTTATATCAGTATATAAAAGATGAAGGGAACTCGATATATGACATCTTAAAAGAGAATAATAATTTAATGAAAGTATGGTACCTTTTTTTTTGTTGAGCTAGATATTTTATTAGACACAAAATCAGAATTAGAAAAAGAAACTACCAAATGCAAATAGCCAATTTAGCTGCCTTTGTACTTCTTTTTCTAGCAGCTGATAAATTCAAATATGCAAGTTCGGTTGTGCATTTTTTGGTGCAAGTTCATGATGATCCACAATTTTGAAATTACTTGAAACAGTATGTTTAGTGCATATCATATGTAAAAAACACTACTTTGTTTTTGATGAAGCACTTGAAACATATGATGTAAAATTCATCAAGCAAAATATTTTTGGAAATCTTACAGATCAGGAAACTATAATGCAAAAAATTAAAGCAGCACAATGTGAAAGAGATCATCTGTCAATGCTTCTTGCAAAATATACTGACGATGTGATAGTAAATCAAAATGCATATTCAATCCAATTCTGTAAAGACTCTCTTTGGTCATTAGTTGCAAAATTAATATCTAAATTTAAAGCTCAAGATAAACATGAGTTATTCAAAGGTGTGTCAAGAATTAATGAGGAAGGTTTTAAAAAAATTCTTGCCTGCTATGAGTCAGGAAAATCATGTCTTAAAGCAATACTTAGGCAAAACATGTGTAAAACAGAGCAATATGTAGTTTCTGAATGTAGTGCTTGAGATATAGACTAATATACATCTGCTGAATTTGAACAAATAAGAAAACAAGCAAATAAATCTAAAAAAAAAGAAATAAATCTAAAACTATAACAATGATAAAGGAAATTTCATCATCTCTATTAACATAACAGTCACTTAAAACTTTTTTTCTTACACATGTTCCAGATACAGATAGTAATAAAAGGCAAAAACAATGAACAACTATAGAAAAAAAAAAATATATACTTTCTCTACTACTTGAACACAAAAAATCATTACCATTTGCTAAAATTCTTATAACACTTGACAAACTTCATAAGATCTCTTCGGATTGGACTATTGACAGGGTTAGACAATATTAGAAAAATAATAAAAAATCAGTATAGCAATAGCTATAATTATAGAATAGCTATAGTTTCTCATCCTTAATCATGATTTCTTTAAAAAATATTTATAACTAAAAGACATATACTAAAACTTTATAAAATAAATAGATTGTTCACTTTGATCATGATTTCTTTGAAACAATAACTATCTTTGAAAGTCATTTATACTAGGAATTATATTGTTATCTGTTATATAAATATATAAATAATTAAATAAATAAAAATTAATAAATTAAATAATATTTTTGACTATTATATCAAAACTAATTATATACTTGCATACACATGATAAAGTTTTGATCCTTAATCTGACTATTCGAATTGATCTCTAAATCTAGATAAATTTAGATATCCAGATCAGAGATTTTTATTCGAATTGGTCAAGAACTTAAATAATGAATCTAAGAATGTGCTACAAAGCTAGCTTAATATGTAATCTTATGCAGATTCGATTCAGATTTAATAGAATCTGGATTGCCTATCAAAAATGAAAATAGGACCAAAACTCTAATACATGGGTGCTTCTATAGCAAATCGGGGCTTAGAAAGGTTTTAACTATAATTGAGATTTTTTGGGAACTATATTCCTAAGTGCATGCTTTATCTGTGGCAAAAAATTTGGTAAATATTAGCATATTACAATTTTATACAATTCCTTGTGCAGTTAAAAATTGAAATATGTTGATATATATAAAAGTTAATGATTAAACATTAATATTTATATATAAAAAATTTAGCTCTAAGCCCCAATTTGTTGTAAAAATATCCATATGAAAGATTAAATAAAAATAGGAAATACCTTTTCTATTAAATAATCAAATAGGCCTTAAAATTTCTATAAAATTTCACAAGTTCTATGTTACCTTTTGTGCAAAGACATATTTCTTATAGTTTGTTAAGAGGTTTATTAGTAATAAAACCTTTCTTTGTCAACTAAAAAAAAGATAAATCTATAATTTTAAGCATTCATCTTATCTTATATAAGGGTTGCTCTAAGTAAACTTCAAAAAGCTGCAAGTAAAATGCTGTTATACCATTAAGATCATTCGAAGTGTTCCTTGTTTTACACCTTTTAAAAAATGAAAAATAGTTAAAAATAAGGTATTTGAAGGAAGATCTTGAAGTTTATAATAAAATAATAATAATCTTCAAGTCTGATTTTAATTCATATAAATTTGACCAACAAGTGAGTTTTTTATATAAAACTAAAGTATACAACTTAAAAAACCTCATTTTTTTAAGATTGAAAGATTATTTGTTGGAAGTTAATTGATATATTTCTGTTAAAAAGTCATGCTATCATATGTTACACAAGGATTTATAACTATAAAGATCATTACGAGAGAGATGTCCTGTGCCTATTATTAAATAAGCAATTAAAACTAATAAAATAATCTATAACCTATGTAAAAATATTAAGAAAAATATAAAATATAATAGAGCTAAAAATAAATATATAATAATATAGAAAAAAAACAAATTTTATTACAATATATATAAGTTGTTTTGTTAAATTAATTGGCTAACCTGTGAAGTTTGGCTTTTTAAGTATTTTTTTTTTATAAACACTTTGGTTAGTTTTTTTGTTACTACTTTTGTAATAACTTTTTTGAAAGTCTTAATTAATGCTATTACTGTATAGTTCTAAAATTAAGCATCTCTTTTTTGCATGTAATGTAGGCCAAAATTATTATAATGCAAGCCAAATTGTGCATAGTGTGGGCCAGTGATGCTTATTTTCAAGAGGTGCTTAATTTTGAAACTATACAGTAGCTTAATATTGTTTAAACAGTAACTCCAATTTGCATCTTTTGAGATTAAATATATTTGTAATATTTTCTACTTTTTTGATATATTTTCTTTTTTCAAAATCAGATTAGCAAAACTCTGAAGATTTTCTGTGATTTCTTTTCTGTATATTTTATTAATATGTAGCTTATGTCTAATATTTCTAGTACTGTATTTGCTTTAAGCTTTCTAAATATGTCTTTCTTTTATTTTCTTTTATTTTTTCTTCTACTTTTTTATATTAGGCCTTATTGATTTACTCTTTTGAGTTATATATTTTTTTTTATTCTTTTATTATTTTTTTTAGTTTGATTTTTTATTTTCTAAATTAGTTTTTTTTTTGGTATTAAGGTAAGATCATGCTCTCTAGTCTTTATTAGTATATTTGTTATAGCTAGTACAAATCTATTATATTTTGTTTATCACTATATATCTATTTGGACATAGGACTCAGACATATTTATCTGTGACCTAAACCTACCAGAGTTTTGTATTGTGTCTCATTCACACCTAACCTAGATTTTTGTTTCACTACTAATTATATTGAATAACCTACATATTCTCTCTATATCTCACAACCTATTTTTAACAACTCCCAAATTGGTTCACCAGGTCATTCACTCCTTATGAACTATTATCTTTGGTTTGCCCAAAAGGTGCCTCTATAGCATATGTCTTAAGTCAGATTTCTGCTGCCATTGCTAACTTTCTAATTCAGGTACTGGTAGCACATATCTTAAGCCAGGTTCTTGCTGCTGCTGCTGGTTTGCAACCCTTCTTGGTCTTAGCATTATTTCTAACAGATTATGCATCTAACCTGCCTTTTAAGTACTCCTTTTTATGATATAGATGGAACTCTATTTCAGAGATGAATACACATCCTCTTTTAGCCATTGACCAATATTTCTACTACTGTTACACCATGCTGCAGGTTTTTCTTTGTTCTGTTTCCAATCGTGAGCAATCCTCCTGCCTTTTTAAGAACATCTTAGCTTGAATCTACATTTAGACTAAGATGTTCATACTGTGTTCAAGTAGGTTTTCACTTCCAATTTAGATATCTCAACCATGATTGGTACAAAATTTATGTTGGTATGTTCCACTTGTTTTGCCATAGGCTTCCATATAGGTGTGACCAGAGCTCCGGTTTAGAACCTTTAGATGTACAGGACAGATTACAACTTTTCTATACAGATGGTTACCTTCTATTCTTAGTCATTCCACAATGCCAGAGGTGCTTCTAATCTTGATAAGACTAATCTTTTGTTACAAACCTTCTATGCATGCACTGCTTCTCTCACCATTTTAGTTTGTGTTACCTTGGTATCACCCTCCCAATCAAGTACTCCACAAGTTAGATGAAGAGATGTTGGTACTGCCCCATCTCCAGAGGACTTATATGTACAACCCTTTGTGTAATAGAACTTTCTGTGACACTGCTGTTACACATAGTGACCACACTCTGCAAAGTCAGTTTCCTTTTATGAATTCCTTTTTCCATTATATACTGCACTTGGACTTGACTACAGGGCTTCATGTTCAATTATAGGTTCCTTATTGATTACAGAAGCTAAAATCTTTCGATTTTGCTTTTAGCTGAACTTGAACTATTGACCTTGACTATGAGAATATGGAAGCTTAACTATTAAGCTATGGGATCCACACCCTTTAAATTAGTTTTTGAAATAAGCTACCAGACTGTTTAGAACTGCATTTGGCTTTAATATAAAGTTAACTTCTTTTTTATTTTATATTATAAATCTGTTTAGAACAATCTTTTTCTATAGTCTATTTAGTAAGCTGACAATTATTTATCTTTAATCTGTTTTAATTATTTTATATCTAAATTTATGTTTTCTTTTATTTGTTTTTTTTATGCTTAGTTCTATTTTTTTTTTTTTAATTATATTACCAACCTTTAATATTGTCTATTTAGGTTTTTGACTATTGCCTGTATAGTTTTGGTAATATTATTCTTAACTCTTTTTTTATAGTTTTGTTTTGTTGTTTGTTTTACTTCTTTTTTTTTCTATTTCTTGATTCTTCTTACTTTTTGCTTTTTTAATTATTTGTTAAAGTTCAATAATATGTTTATATTGCTTTATCTTTTTCTAGCTTTGTCTTCTGTTCAACTTCATATTGAATATTTTTTTTCTTTGGAATTTGCTTGTTTGCTAGTTCAATTATAACTTTTTTTATTATATTTTATATTTGATTTAGTACATCTGTTCTATATTTAGTTTTTTTTTTTTTTTGCTAAAACTGTGATTATCAGTAGCTACTGCCTTTATTGTATATTTAATTATGATTATATAATTTGTACAAGATGAGTATACAACTATACTTGCTGACAAAACCTGAACAAATCCCAAGCCTTAAAAAACAAATTGCTTTTATAAAAAATTAAATCAACAAAATAATTTTGATATTTTGTAAATATATTATATATAGCTATAAGAAAATAAATTATTTGTTTAAATAAAGATTATTAATAAAGTTTTTGAAATATTAATTTGGACTTGAGTTTGGGATTTGGGCATAAACAAATTCAAACTATAATAGTTTAGGATTTGGACAGTAAATATATGTACAACTAGCTATATGTATAACTTTTGCTTATTTAATTAAGTAGTCTGTTTATATAGCAGGTTCTATACCAACTGCCATATCTGCAATCTGCTAGAAGATTACTTATTTAAATACTCTGATTCATATACTTATACTAACAGATAGCATACAAGTTCTTGTATATCTAAGTGCTATTTAACCTAAACATGACTACTTTTTCTATATATTTATCAAGCTGTTATACATTTTAGAGTATATTATCTAACTGTAAGGCTCCAA